TACCTGGCTAGGTAACACCTAGCCGGGTAATGAAACGTTTGCAAGAAAAGAACCAAGCTCAGAGAATCCCAAGGACTCCACAATGTTTGCTATTCATAGAATTAAAGATCAAGGGAAATGAAGGGGAGATTGGGGAAGAGAAACCAGATTTCTAGTCACCCTCCACCCTTCTAACCATAAAATTCCAGGTAGAGCCTCAAAGAAACGCATAGACAATTAACTCATAAGTAATCCAAAAGCTCTACAGCTTGGTTGCTGAGCTTAAGGGTAGGTCTACAAGAAAAGTAGGTCCCTTCCACATTCAGGAAGTGTATCAGCATGAGACTGGGCCTGTTCCCATGTGTTCCTGTGACACTGCGAGGATTCCAAGAGGCATGGGAAGCTGAGCCTGGATGGCCAAGAGAGTTTTGCCGCATTTCTTCACCAGAGCTATGGAGCAAGAAATTTCTCATTGGGGAAACTCTTGCCTCATTTCACCTCCTTGTATCTTCCTCCACAATTTGTCTGCTTGTTTGTTCATCCAATTTCTACAATTGCCCATCTATCCCAAGGAATGTGGTGAACAGAAAACAAATCTCAATCATTAAAAACCCAAATAAAACCCAAATTGAGGCTTTTATAAAATACCAGTTTGGCCCTATAACATTTTCATACATATCCCAGAGTGCTTGTATCTACTAGTGGCTTTAATTATTTTTTCCTCACTGCGTAAATACATTTCAACAAGAACAGAATGATGATGGGAGGCTAGGGGTTTTCCATTTTTTCCCTTTCCCATTGAATGGAGGGAGATAATATTAGCTTGCAAGGTAATATTCATGGGTAAGAGTAAGGGGTGTGTGGCTGTTGGTTGTGTAGAACTGTCCTTATTATCCACGAACAGCTACTGTCAGAAGCTCAAAAATATAAAAATGTTGCTTTTAAGTTCAGAAAGCTTTGAGCATTTATGAAGACCACCTTCCTTAAATAGCAACTTCTTCAGGACTGCTTTCCCTCCTGAAAGCATTTCCACAAGCCCCTCCCTCCTTTTACCTTGCCACTCCACTTTAATTTGGGTAAGAACTGCAGAAAATGCTCTGGAATTCAGAGGGAGGGTGCCATTGCCCTTGCGATACATCTCAGCAGAGTGGCACATGGAGAGCCACCAAGTTGCAGGGTGGGCATGTCTGGAATTTCCACTAGCACGAACATCATCCACCCCTAAGCCTCACGAAACCGAAGAAACTGAAGTGTCTCAAACTACAGAATGTAGAGGAATTGCTGTGTCCTTCAAGACAAGTGGGAAACCTGGTAACTTCAGGGACGTGTCTGTGTTGTTGGAAACAATATGGGAGTGTTCTCCTTTCATATTGTTCCCTACAGGCCTCAACTTCCCTAGATGTCTTCCATCTAAGAATTAACCAGGTCTGGCCCTGTTTAGTTTGCCTAGTGGAGCCAAAGTCAGCTAAAACTCAAGTGACAGATCAGTGGCACACCAGGAGCACCCCTGCTATTTCTGTCCCTTGCAAGTAGTTCTGATGCCAGTTCTGAGGTCTCATTTTGGTATTTTTGTGTTAAAATAAAATCAGGATAACCAGCTCCCTATATCATAATGCTATTACTACAAGGTTGACTGTATGGTTTTGTTGGTATTGCCCATAGCTAAACAGGGCAGGAAACCAGCTAATAATGCTTAGTTAGATGGAACAATGTCCAGAGACACCCTACAGCAATTCGTTTCCATGTTCAGCCTTGGCCTACAGAAATCTGATGTACATTAAGGTTAGTGACCTTAATGTACATCATTAAGAAAATAATTTAAATGCTTGGCTTGCTTTTTTATCAGTATATAATCTTTAGGAATAACAATAGGAACAGGTTTTATTGTACGCCACCCAGAGTCACCTTGTGTGAGACGGGCGGCCATTATAAATTTGATAAATAATAAAATAAATAAATAAAATAACCACAGGATGCATGCTTACTTTCTAAAATACTGATACTATACATATAACAATAACAGTGATAATGATGATCATAATAATAATAATTTATTAAACTTGTATGCAGCCAAGTCTTAACGACTCTAGGCAGTATAGTATTTCCTATACTAATATCCTCGTCCAATCACACTCAGGTTCACCCAGTTCAGTATTATATTTTCAAAAGCAGCTTCTCAGATGGTATGAAAATTAAGGACATTTTTTTCTTAGTTGCAAAGCAACTAAATCAGAATCAGCAACGCTGGTATTAGTTCCGCCTGCCTGAAGGAAAGACAGAATATAAATAAATAATCCATAGATTCAAAGAGATAGTTGGGTTGGTCCATTGAAGCTCTTATTAGAACCAACCAAGGGGTGTGTTTTTTAATTATAAAGACCTCTCCCCTGACATTTACAGGCAAGTGGATTCTTCTGGTGAGAATGTATAGTAGTACCAATAAAGTCTTCTTGAGCTTGAATCCTACTGAATTCATGGGCACATCCTTTCCCTGGGATTTTTTTTTTCTTCCTAACTTCCTGGTCTAGCCTACAATCCTCAGATTTCCTAGTATTCTCTCATCGAAGTCCTAACCAGACTGTAATCTATTTATCTTCTAAGTCTAACATGGAAAGTCACTGTATATCTGCTGCAGGAGCACATCCCAAAGATGAACATAGCCTAATCATTGCTATTTTCTTTAGGGACCCCCCATCTAGCCCACAGCTTTGGGATTCCCTGGAGGTCTCCCATCCAAATACTAACCAGCCCTAGCCCTGCTTAGCTTCCAATCAGAAGAAGAACCAATTTGGTTGGCCAAGTGCAGCCACCTGCTGAAATCCATAAGAACATGATGGTTTGCTACTGAACCACTTACTTTTAAGGAATAGATTTCTACTTCCCCACGTTTTACATAATGAAGCATGGAACTATGGTAGTGGGGCATTCATATTGATCTTTATTTTATCCATTTTCTCTTCCAATGTCTGCAGGACATGGCTCCGTGGCCTGAACTGGAAGACACAGACACCAATAAATATATTGAAGAACCGTGCTCCAAACCAAACGAGATCATGTCTGAAAAAGAGACGAAAGATACCAAAGGTAAAACAAAAGTACTTTCTTTTGATCTATCATATCCTTTCTCCTACATCTCCAGTACAACCATTTTTTAGACTTCTACATCTCATATTGGTGGATTGATAAAAATATTGATTTGCTTGTTTGGTCCATCAGACACGGCCATTTCCACCGAAAATCAGCTGGAACTTTTGCCTGCATATTCCACCATTGCTTTGACCACTGAATCTGAAGAAGAAGATCCATGGAGTCTGCCAGAGCTTCAGGATACTGGAATCCAATGGTCAGGTGAGAGAGAACTGGTGAAATTTGTTTCCATTCCTCCATGTTCTACCATCTTCCATTTAATTTATTCTTGTTGAATGTTATATTTCTGGAAAAAAATGGAAAAGAACATTTGGACGAAGTTTTTGTTTTGTTCTTTAAAACCTTTGTTCTGAATCTTGATGGGATTGTTTCTTCATTAATAACCTCAACATGCTGTGTTCTCTGTTTGGTTTCTTTGGTTTGAAAGGGAATGCTTGACTTGAAAGGCAAAATGGCACATTACCCACCAGCACAAATAATAACAAAGCTAGTATTAAGTGATAGCCTCTTCTCCACGTTTGATATTCTCTTGTTTTTGATTCTCAATTAACACACGGCGCCAAAAATTCTGCTCATGATATCATAAAATGTTATCAGACGCATATCTAGGTGAATCATGATATGCTTTCTTAATTAATGTTACTATGCTTAAGAATACTATACTTAAGAATGTTCAAAGGTCATGCATCAAAAGAGTAAGTGTTTAGAAGAAAATGGCAACTAATTTGAATTTGACTTTGTCTATGGGCCTGATTTTTGTTATATATCATATCATATATCATATCATATCATATCATATCATATCATATCATATCATACCATATCTATCTATCTATCTATCTATCTATCTATCTATCTATCTATCTATCTATCTCTATCTATCTATCTGTCATCTGTTTATCTGGTAACCATAACCTTGTTACAGGAATCACAAGCAGAATAGTAGCAATTAGTGATGCCCCTGACTGGAGTGGGTTCATGATGCCTGTTTTCTTTAATGCCATGATTTTCAAACTTCTAGCAGGAGTAGCTGCAAAATTCTTAAAGCAATTGAGAATCCTAAAGTTTGGACTTATAGCGTATTTCCTGAAAGGCGGTGGAAGACATTGGTTAATGCTGATATTTCAGCTTGATCTTTCTTGGTCAAGATACCTGGCATACGGTAGTTTTCCTAGGTTTCAGTCTGGCTTTTGCCATGGTCCAAGAATTGAGAGCAGGATTTTCAAAACACCACCTTTCCCCCTCCAAACTTCTCTTCTTATTGCAATGTCCTGACAACCCTTTGAATGTATTTGGTTGGAATCAGGAAGAGGGTTGGAGTGTGTCTGGATTCTGGAGTTCTTTTTTCCAACTGCATAGAATTTCTGTGATAGTAAATCCTTCCATTTTTTAGCTAAAAGAAATAGGATGAGATCTATCAATAAGAAAACATAAACATTGATTAGTATTTTCTCTTTCAAATTTCTGCTCACCAGATTGTGATAAGTATGACAAAGTAAAGTGCCCTTTTAAAATATGGCTGTTTTTAAAGCTTCATAAAAAAAAACCTTTTAGCTAAAGTTAAATTTTAATAATGAGAACATTCCTTCTGGTTTATTATCCACAGAGCTCATGATATCAACCTTGACTCCATGGACTTGCTGGGAACTGAAATATTGTTGAGATTCAAGACTTACATTTGGTGCTAATTATACATGAAAGCTTGTTTTGTCTTTTGCAGAGCTTGATGGAAAACACAAAGTCCTGTATATTTTACAAGGCATAGGGAAATTTATTCTTCTGCTTGGATTACTTTACTTTTTTGTTTGCTCCTTGGATGTGCTCAGCTCTGCCTTCCAGTTAGTAGGAGGTAGGACAAGTTTTTCAAAGTATTTCTATGTCTCTTAATAACATCACTATGTACTTTATTTAAGAGTACAGAAAGTCTGTCGGCTCTAATTCTGCAGAACAAAGCTTTTTAAGTATTGCAACTCAAAAAGAACTCCCTTCAAGTGGATGAATATGGAAATCAAGTTTTATCTACCATAAGAATCTATGAAAGGACAAACAGAATCAGAATCACTCTGTTTTTATAATAGCCAAAAGGTGTTAAGTAACCAAGGCTCCTGGTACTGTGGATAGCAATCTTACGTAGCTTAATTCTCTGGGAATGTAAGCCCTTGATTTGCAAAAGTGGCTCTTTTTTTTCCCCCAGAATTCCCAAGGTGATGTTCACAGTAGGGATGAACCTTTCTTCTAAGGCAGGGTTTCCCAACCTCAACAACCTTTAAGATGGGTGGATTTAAATTCCCAGAATTCCCCAGACAGCACTGAAGTCCATCCATCTTAAAGTTGCTGAGGTTGGGAAATGCTGGTCTAAAGAGCTTGTGGCAGTTTGTATAAGGTCACACCCCATTTAACTTAATCACAACTTTGTGAGTTAGATTGGGTTGAGAGTAAAGGCTGGGGCCAAAGTCACCCAGGGAGTCCATAGCTGATGGGAGACCTAAGCCTGGGTTTCCCCAGTCTTGAACAAACATTCTAATCACAACTCTACAATGGTTGTTTGCTATTGATCTTGGGTTCATATGGAAAACATGCTTTAACTGGAGAAGATTCCTAACTGGATTATTGTCCAAGGAATGCATTTATCTGACACAGATCAGTTCCCCCATAGGGACTTAGAGCATCTTTATAGCGTCATCCAGCCACTGTTGAAATTATATAGAGCTTGTCCTCATTACTGTTATTTTGGCCCAAAGATATTTGGATGATTTGAGAAGATCCACTAAGTCCCTAGTGGGGAAAAGGCCACAGATAAAGGAAAACAGTTTGTAGGGGATGTTTTATCCCCCAGCATCCTCTTTAGCTGATATTGCTAAATCCTACCTAGCTGGGCAAGACCAAGGAAGCAAAACAGCACAGATTTCAGTAAGGCATGTTTAATCTTCATCTGGGGTAAACAAGGAAACTGGAAGAGGAATTTCCCAGCCTTATTTATAGTGAGTCAATTAAGGTGTAGTCTTTTTGAATACTTTGAGATGCTTTTTCCCAGATTTCTCCCCACCTGGACTGAGATGCCATTTAGGAGATTAGCTGTCAGTTGACTCACCAGTTGCTATTTCTTCCATTCCTTTCCCAGCCTCTCCAACATCTCTCATATTGATGCCCTTAGAAGTCTCTGCACGTACAGCACTAATATCTCAAAGGGGTTCTCTAAGTGAGATTGGCTAAACTCAGTGTTCCTGGGCTAGTTTAGCTGAACACAGTAAGCCTCTCTGAGTCCTTGATGCCCTAGGCACAAGGGCTGTCAATCACGTGAGGATATTGTGGGTGTGGTGTGGGGAGGAGACCTAATTGTTTCCTCCAACCTGCATTGTTGTAACTACATGCAGGTGACTGCCAATCTAGGACTTAATCTCTTACCCCAAATTAATGTCTTAATCTAGTGTCTTATGTGTTTGGTAATGGGTGATGTGATGGAAAATTTCTTATGCATGAGATTTGATAGATAAAACACTTCTTTCACAGACGCTTGATACAGGCAGGAAAAGCGATAGGTAGACTGGTGTATACACCCATATGGAAAAGGCTGTGGGAACCATTTTAATCTTCATCTCAGTTAAGAATACAAGCTCCCTTCCCTATCAGTCTTGCATACTGTGATGACAGTCAGATAGTAGAATACAATTTAGTGGCCATTTTTCACATTTTTAAAGGACTGGTGAGAAAATGTAAGCTTCTGTCATTTACTCTATGGCTCAAAGTCTAAGTGAATACCATCAGAAGATCTCCAGATATTGCTCTTATTTGATGAAGGATATTTAAACCTATAATAAACACAAAACAAGCCTCAAATGCACACAGGTATTGAAACTTGTATGGATATTTCTATATTTATCATCTTCACTTTGTCTCAGACTAGATTTAAAGCACTACTTACTTACTTTTATTATGGGTCAGAGACCCAGACTACACAAAAAACAAAGTACAATACGACAGAATAAAAAGACCTATAGGGTAATTGTGCCTAGTCTACATTGCTGTCAACTGTGCACCAATTTTACAGTCTACAAATAGAAACTGTACAACAGCAAGACTTACCTTGGGATCTTTATCAGCCCAAAGAAGCTGTACGTAGAATTCTTCTGTCCAACCTGGAAATGAGATAAGAAGAGGTGTTAATAGCTCACTGTGAAGGTCTCAGAAAAACATATAGCGGAACATGATTCCGCAATTCAGTGTTCCCGTGTTACAAGGACAAAGTCTTTCGGCATCCAGATTTAAAGATTCAGTTATTTATACTTTCACTAAAGGGCGAACTATGCTAGCAACTTCCTTTACAAGAAAAGCCAATTTAAGAAAAGTGATTGCATCAGAACAGTGGTGGATAGAAAAATATATATGCCTTGTTTTAAAGTGTATCCCAACCCCTCCTCCTCAACAGACTCAGAAAGATATTATACCAACAAATTCGAAATCCCACTGAGGGCCACAGCAGTTTGATGTCCACATTTAGAGGAAAAAAATGTGTTTCTTTTCAGTATTCTGTTGCTGCACATGCCTCCTTCCAAGAAAGAAAGAAATGCAGGCAGTGTATCAGGATTTGTTCATTAAAGACTGAAATACATTTTTCAAACTAAATTTTCATCCTCCCCCCCCCAAAAAAACAAACTCAAATTCTTCTTCAATTCAGCAATGAAGGACCTTGAGAAATATATTGGTTTTGTTACTTCACACCCATGTTCTTTGTAATCAAGGTATATAAATTTCACCAGCTGGAACATAAAAATGTCCAGCTTACAGTGATACAGTGATTTTGGCTTCACAACCGTTACATTCAAGTTAGGCTGGTTTACTGAAACATGAAGACCCAACACATCTCTAAATCTTCATTTCTTGGATTGCAGGAATAGTCTTCTCTTCACTGAAATAATTTTTATTTTTACAGGCAAAGCAGCAGGGGACATTTTCAAGGATGGCTCAGTCTTGTCAAATCCTGTTGCAGGCCTTGTCATTGGGGTTCTGGTGACTGTAATGGTGCAGAGTTCTAGTACTTCTTCTTCTATCATTGTCAGCATGGTGTCTTCTTCGTGTAAGTTAACGGTATAAAGGATTTTGGATTTTATAACTTGCTATGAAAGTTGCAGAGCCACAAAATAGGGAAGTAAAAAGACAGAAGACTAGTGTGATATGGTACATGGGGTCACGAAGAGTCTGATACGACTTAATGACTAAACAATAACAACAAAAACCAACTCAGAAATAGCCTATCCTAAAACTATGGGTACATAATATTTTAAATAGGAGGGAAAATTCCTCCTGGTGTGGTTTTTCTCTACCAGTGTTACAAGGATGGGGGAGGGCACTCATGATGGAATTTTGCCTCGCTGTGCATTTCTTTAAATTACAGGATATCATAAAGATTATTCTTTTGCAATCCTAAACAGAAATGGACACAATCTTTGGCAGGAGTCAGACTCAATTTGTAATTGCACAATTCTTGTTTCAGTCATTTCCTCAAGAAAAAAATCTGACAAAGGGAAAAAAAAGGCACTTTGCTGGTCTGAAATATAGCTTCCGGTTCATAATCACTTGATAGGTTAAATTATTGTATTGTATTGTATTGTATTGAAAATGTTTTCTTGGTGGTTAATCCTACTATGTTTCTTTTTACCTCTATACCAAGCACCATGATCACCTCCTTCGTTGCTCTCACTCTATTTGGAGTTGGTTTGATGATGTTGGGGTCATCGTTTGCTTACAGTTGTATTTATCCAATCAACACAGCATTAGAGAACCCTTAAAGAGGGCGCTCTAGAAAGCCAACATGGAAGGAAGTGTGTGTGAAAACAGTGATCCTTGCTGACAAATGTGTAACTGCCAGACATAGCTCTTTAAATAATGCTATACATGGTATTGATTTATAAGAACTTGTATTGAGAATTCTTGACTCTTCGTGTGTGTTCTGGTGTGTACTCCATTTCTGCTGAAGTCTGGAAACACATCAAAACAGTACAGACAAAGAGAGGATAAAAAATGAATTAGGAGCCAAATACAAGCAAGAAAGCCTTAGTTTTGTAGAAATGAATTGGAGGAGCTGAAATTAGCTATCTTCCATGCATAATCCAGATCCACTGAAAGAGAGTCGTGTATGAGCCAATATTTCTCATACATCTCATTTTCATCTATTATTATTATTATTATGGTTGGTTGCACAATCAGCCAGATGTTTAGACTGGATTTGGCATTTTTAT